AAAAAAAAAAAAAAAAAAAAAAGGATATATCATGGAGAGTGTGCGATGGAATTACACGATTTAATTCCGCTTTCCCCTTTCCATCACCAGGGGACTAGACGTAGACTTGGGTTCCACCTCTATGTTGTGGATATTCCAAAGATTCGCACGATGTTACGCTTCCACAATTATGTGGCGAATGGCTATGGAGTGGAATTCCCTGCTTGCAGACTTGTTCCCTGAACGTTATAACTTGGGCCTTTTCATGGCAAAAGTGAAGAGGCATTCATCTGTCGTCGACCTCATCATCACTTTCCATCAGATGAGATGGAGGTCAAATGCGAACTACATTTTATAAAAAAAAAAGTTTTATCTTAGAAAAGTAATTTTCTGGCGTCGCCATTTTCACATACACAATACGGAAGCGTGGGCGCACCGATTGCATTAGTCGGCGGCGGCGGCGCAAGGAAAAACGCGGCGGCGGCGGCGCGCCGGCGCGGCCCTCATGTCTAAATAAAAGACACAAATTCGACGTCCGCCATGCTTGCTTTACCGGAGCACTATGACTAACGTTGTGTGCTAGTGCGCTTGCAAGCGTGTGCAACGTTTGTCTCGCCTAATTAGCCAAGCGTTTGTAGACGTTTGGGGCTTGCGGCAAATGACAAGCGTGTGGTGCATTAGAGCATTAGATCTTTGCCACATTTAATGGTGGTTACTAATGACGTAATCGGCATGGCTGATTTATGGGACACAATAATATAGTGTATGCTAGCGATACGATAAAAAGAAAGAGAATAATGGATGAAGAGGATTCTTTACCAGTGGTAAAATATACACTCCTGGACACATAATTCGAACCACCTCGCATCAGTATTAAATGCCCTAAGCTTAAACAATGTTCGATTGATCAAGAACTAGCCTACGCAATTTTAGAACTAGTATATTAAAAGTTTTTTCCATAAGTCCTTGTTGGAAATTTAGACTTGCAAAACCGGGGGAAACCTTTTTCTTCGATGATAACACTATTTTTGTATTCTACCCCTTTAAGGCAAAAACGCAAGGTGCCTCGAATTATGTTTATTTCCCTGTGTGTATATTTGTTTCCCTGAGCATTTCAGATTTTCCAGAATCAACACACTGCTAAAACTCATGTGGTGCTATTGGAAGATCTGATCTGAAAGCTACTCCTAATACATACCTTGACTCCGACCTGGTCATCCCCATCAATCTCTACCATGGAACCGTGGGTACCAATCTCCACCTCGCACATTATCTCCTGGTTCATCATCTTGAACCCCTGGAAAGAAAGTCGTTGTTTGAAAACTTCGCATAGGTACAGTCAAGAGCACGTCAAGCTTGACAAGTTCTACTTGGGACCGTTGTTATCTTGTGCGGCATAGTTGGATTTAAATCTTAAGTGTCTTGCTTGACGTGCTCTTGACCCTGTACTAGTGTCAAAGTATGTCCTTGAAATTATTTTTGATATCATCAAAGTCCGTATTGTTAGCACAGGCAATTAGGGTTACAACCCATTTGTCAGCACGCTTTAGCACATTGCTGAGAATGCTAATTTTAAAACCTTGTTACAAGTCATAATAGCGTGTACGTTGTCCCATTTCTACCTTTATGACTGGCTAAAGACAAATCTATATTTATTTATTTATTTATTAAGAAACAAGTACGAAATGAAAATTGAAATCAAGGCTGCTAACGATGGAACAAAAACCAGCTTTGGTTTGTACCAGTTCAACATATGCAAATAAATGACAATAATGAAACAAACACGTAATAATAAAGAATACAAACATAAAATAAATACACTTATGTTACTCATTTATCGTGCTTATTATAAATATTCATAAAGTTAAAAAAAATACAAAATTGTTAAAAGTTTATTACGCGCGTAATTTTGCTATAGTTACATGTAAAAATACAACGAATTACGTGCCCAGTAATTTGAATTTTTTGTCCAGATCTGTACTGTTTGTACAAGTCTTGAGTGAATTCATGGCGAAATTTCTTTGCTAAGTGAGGTTTTACCTTTGTATACCAAAAAGCAATTTCGTAATATAGTTTTAAAAAATTTCACTCGCGTGCTATCACCAGAAGTCGGTGTATATTTACTTAAATTTTAAGTAATACACATAGAGCGAATAATAACACCTCTAAAATTCCAGAATGGTTAAAAATTAAATAAAATCAAAAACAAACAAAATAGACAAATAGATATATACTTTATTGCTCATACACAAAAACAAAAACGGTACTAAGGATCGTATTCCAGAACTCTACTCAATGCTCAAGTCAGGATTTGAGCAGACTTGAGTATGATTTCAAGCACTGGAAATACGACCCTAATGGGAAGGACTGGAGTATGATTTTCAGTGCTCACTGCGACACTCAAGTCCTGACTTGAGTATTGAGTAGAGTTCTGGAATACGACCCTTAGACGACTTAGAATTAACGTGCGCACAAGGCGGCCTTATCGTCAAGAGCGATCTCTTCAAGAGGACAACCTTTGAAGCAGGGGAAAACTAAACTGAAAATACTCATATTCATATTTTTTACTCGCAGTTAGAAAACTTTTGTTATTCGTCCCTTTACTGGCTGCGTGTTCCTCTCAGACGAGGTTTTAGGTATAGTCCGCCAAGCTGGCCAAATGCGGGTGGACTCTACACGTTTTCCAACATTGTAAACTTTCTTCGATGTGGAGATTTCACCAAAAAGTTCATAGTAACTTTCAAATTAAATTTGGCATATAAATTTCGAGAAAGGGAGACCATACTTCAGACGCGAAGACGATTTTAAATATGTTGCTGGAGGAGCATGGAGGCTAACAGTAAAAGATAGGGAGAAATGGAAATCTCTGGAAGAGGCCTATATCTTAGGACAAGCTAAATTTTTTTTTTTAATAATATCAAATGACGGGACGAACAAGTCCTGCGCCTGATGGTAAGCTACACGCCTGTCCATAACAGTTGCAGTGCCACTCAGAGATTTAAATCGCAAAGATCTGAGGGGCACTGCCACTGCGCCCGTCACCCTGAGACATAAGTTGACAAGTCCCATGTGCCTGTAATTTCACCAGCACCCTTACCCTTCAAAATCGGAACACAGTAATGGTGACATTAATGCTTGACCGCTGAAATAGGTAAGGTGGCAGTACTTCCCTGGGCGAACTTTTTCACGAAGAGCTCTACTGCTACTAAACAGGGGGTCTACTCTGGATCTCCGTCCGACAAAACTAAAGACAAGTATCAAGTATGAATCACAGAAATCACATGTTGCGGCTGGAACGAGTACAAAAGAGATTTCTCTGGCACTTAGCTTACTCAATGGGTCTGGCCAGAAAGTAGCGGTCATATTCTGACAGATTGACGTATTTCAAAATGCTATCACTTGCAAAGAGAGAGGAATTATTGGACTTAATATTTCTATATAAAATTTTGCGTTCGCACATAGACTGTCCACAACTGCTCGCTAAATTTAACTTCAAAATTCCCTCAAAATATCCCAGGTATGCAGTTACACCCTTAGTGCCTCCGTTTCGCAAGACCGTTCTGGGCTTTAATTCCTGTGTCCCAAGGCTCTGTAGACTATATAATAAGCACAGTCAGGTAAGCGATATATTTTGGCAGTCGCTGAACAATTTTCGTAATAGTATTATATCTAACCTTAATTAATTTTATTTATTTTTTCTGTTTAACTAATAATGCCGAGACCCTTGTTCGCTTGTATTTACTATTACTTTTTTGTTTGTATTTTACTTTTCTCTTTTTTTTTAAACTGGATTAAATAGCTTTTTTTTTAAGTTCTAATTTATCTACATTCATGTTGTTTTTGTGAGCTGTGTTTACTTGTAATTGGTTGTGCAATTAGATAAGATCTTCTATACCTACATTTAATTTTAGTAAGTAACATTGTAATAACTGTAAGTGAACCAATAAATTTAAAAAAAAATGAAGCTTCATTCGCATCACGCGTCTTTTCATTTGGTCAAGTATTGCTTATTTGGCATTAATTGTTTCGAACGGATGTCAGACGGAAATCGAGAGTAGGCCCCCAGGTACCGAGCAGTGGTGAGGCGTCCATACAATACGCTTCCCACCGGCTTGCCTAAAATTTTCCGCTTATTACCAAACGATTATACTAAACAGCGCGCATACCCTACCGCTTAAAAACATATTCAAAATATTCAACTATTAAAAGCGTAATAAATAACTTGTCCCGATGCATCTCAACCAATCAGCGCGAGGTAAGCCGGTGGATGTGCGGGTTCTATTTCATGTTCTATTTCATTAAAGAAATAAAACCTTCCATCAAAACACGTATACATTCGCAAAAACCCGCTTTATAACATCTAAAGAAATGGCGGCCGAGAAACCGGAATTAATCAGCTTCTAGGCGAATAGTATTCACGTAAATTTACATTATTCCTAATGTAAGTAGATAAGTAATTCGTAGGTAATTAAAATAGCAACACTTAGCATTTATGAGTTTGTTTAATAACAAAACTTTCGTTTCGCGTGGGGAGCATAAAATGTAGTAAATTACTTTAAAAACTATAGTTATTTTTGTGTAATTTTTGTTAAAGTAAGTGTATTGTTTCTTCAAAAAGTTAAAGCCACTCGTACTGGTACTGGTAGTCAACAAATTTGAGTAACAATAAATAAGTAATATATAATAAGTATGCATGTCATACAATGTGTTAGCTAAGTTAGTTACAGCAATAAAGGCTATAAATAAATAAAAAATACACCACCGCAGTAAAAATGTAGAACGAAATACAATAATTCCGGGAAATCCGACAGCATTACCCGCTCTATATGTATAACTTCCTTAAAGTTCAAGTAAATACTCTAGCCTTTTCCGATCACCTGTTATCAATTTGTAGTAGACTAAAACGGGCCAATATACGATACGAGACGATAAAGATCGAACCCTACTTCTCATGTAACCAATATTAAAGTTCAATGCATTTTTAAACAACAAAACTGTTGTCGTCATACAAGGCAATACTTATCAAAGTTATCATTTGTAACACGTATGTTTATTTACATAATTGATATGATAACATTGTTGTTTGATCTTTGTCATATCTTTAGTCAAAATTTGCAATCAGATAATTTTTTAGATATACGGGTAATAGGTCAACACTGCCAATTTTTTAAATGAAATTGTACATAGCATAAGTTTTTTTTAAGTTTATGACAATTCGATGGCCTCGTCGAATAAACGTAAGGCTGAATTTATATTGCGACGTTACAAAATATCGCTTCCATCCCGTTCCGCCGCAATATAAATTGAGCTTAAAAGCCGCATTTTTTTTGCATTTTTGAATTCTCCCGCTCAAAATACACCTTGTAATTTTTTTCACATTTATTTTCCAATTCATTTTATGATTATTCGGTAATTCAACGTTTATTCCTACGAATATGTATTTTGCGTAGTTTACAACAAACTAACTTTGTAATATATACAATATAGTTCATGGTAAAGTTAAAAAAAATCTTAATTGAAATAATAATAATATAATAATAACGCACACACTCAACATAGCCCCGCACTAGGAAAACCCTGTGTCGCGGGTGCCATGGACACACACATAGACAACCACAAATTACACCCAAACTCACGAGAGAAATAAATGTAGGTCATACAAACATTTCTCCCGGCCCGGGAATCGAACCTGGGACCTCTGCGTGGCAGTCCGGCATAGTAACCGTTCGGCCACAGAGGCAGTTCAATGCATTGCAGTGAAATGCATTTTTGCACTTTTAAAGTGTACGACCAATTACTAGAATAACCATGTAAGTATATAATATTCGCATTGATAAATCTTAACGATCATAGTAAAACAGCAATAACATTATGTTACATTTAAAAGTAAAAATATAACTTTTTCCTCAAATAATAGTGTAAACAATACAAGCGAACAGCCGCCACATTAATTAAGAGTAGAATAAAACTTTAAAGAGTTTTTTTATGTTTGTTATTTTAATATAAGATATAATGTTTTTTCATCTTTAATTTGGTCATCCATTGTATTGAGTTGAGTTGGTGCAGATTCATATAGCAAAGAAAGTCATAAAAAAATGTTGTAACACAGTAAACAAAATCCTAGCTCTTTCTTTGTCCTAACTCAGCAATAACAAGAACTCAAAATAGGCTAAGTAACTTTATATTTGTTACTTTAACCTAAACGTAAAGTAACAAACATTAAGTGGATATTACATCACTCTGAAATTCCTGAAGACAAAAATAGATAGATATATTTAATGGTTCTCAATTCAAATGAATTTTTTTTTTTTTGTATTACGTGATTATTCTAACATTTGTGAACCGATTTTGAAGAACCAACTTTCTTGTCAGAAAGAGAGTACCTAAGTATTGGTCCCATTTATATTTGAAGAAAATATTCCACCTCTAAGGGTGGCAAACTAAGGAATGAATCCAGTTTCATGGACTTTCAGGTAACCAATTTCAATAAAACTTAGATAGATGTATGTAGAGTTCTTAGGTTTTCGCAGTTGTTACACATAGGAAATGAAACTATTTTTCCGGATTTTAAAACGCGTATATTTGGTTTTTTCAAACATTTGTACCCGTGTCAAACATATAGCTGATGTCAAACACTGTCACGTAAACAAGTCTGCAGTCTGCGAGCATGTCATGGATAACCTACACATTCAATGAAGTTTGATAAACCTCAGGTCCTTGTAAAAGAAGTCTGTTATCTACCCAAGATGCTGCAAGATGCCATTGAAATTAAAAAACATCCTAATTTCAACAGAGAAGACGGTTTCTCCATACCACCAGTTTGGGATTCAGTATTTCCTCTGATGAAAATTCCCAAGGCATAAGACTCCGGCACTAATTAATATGTTTTAATTTATTCTAATTTCTATTATTAATTAATAATAAATTTAACTTAAACAAATGCTCATTCAATAAAATAATTTGTAAAACATAATGTGTTTCTTTGTAATAAGGTATTTATTATTAAGGTATTAATAACTTTTGTCAACTATAGTGGAAAAATAGGGTGGTTTGCTTTGGTAATATTAGACATAATTGGTTGATGACTGTACCACCTCAGGTAACAGTAACCATGGGACCTGTAAACGGCAATGTTTGGAACATCGATATATAACCAGAAACAGAGACAAAATAAGAGCCATATATTACTGGTAACACATTGCCGATACAGCTCTTATAAATATCAACTTTCATTTGCACTGAAATATAGACAGGCCAACTACTGTGTGTATGTTTCTGTATATTTAAAAAAATATTCTGTATTTATTGTAACAAAGATAATATCTCTAACAATGCCGTGCTGTTCTATTCGGTGGTGTAGGAAAAACAGCAAAACATCTAATTACAAAAGAAACAGAATCACATTTCATTAGTAATTAAATATGTAATATTCCAATTTTCGTCCATTATAGCAAAGCACAAGTTAATCTGGTCGATTTGAAGTGAAACAATTGATGACACCCGTCAATTGTTTTGAATTCGGGCTGGCCAATCGGAGCGCAATTGTCACAGTAATGAAATGGCAGAATAGTTTTCAAACAAATTAAATGACATTTCGTCTCTATTTCTGGTTATAATACTCGATGGTTTGAAAAAACAAATAAACGCAATTTAAAACCGGAAAAATAGTATCATGAAAGATGTAATTCCACAAACTTTGAGGTCAGTTTTTTATATAAAAAGTTATAATTTTAATTAAATAATACTTCTAAATACACTACCATACTTAAATGTTGCAAGTTGCACACAGAAATAGAACAAAATACAAAATAATTCCATAATTTTAGAAGGATGTCATAGGCACTCTATACATATGTTACCTGATATTTAGGCAAATACACCATGTCAATTCTGATCTTTTGTTATACATAATTGATGATCACAATAAACCAAATTGCTGGTAGCAGTGATGAAGGCCTGCAGAGATTCTGAATAAGCCACCCTAATACTTATAAGGTTGGGTGTTTACCATTAATTTTTAACATATCTATCTTGACTAGTATTCTTTACAATTTTACTATTAAAAATTGACAGCTGGAGTAGGTACCTATATACATTCCACTTATGAACAAAGTAGACAAAATGTTTATTTTTTCTGTCTAGTTTCTCCTTTAACCATCCCATACTCATTTTCTTCTGCAATTGTTTATATGTTAATGTGTATCATTGTAAACAGAAAAATTCTCTAATATATACGAGAAACAACACTACAAAACGTAAATAACGAGCGGCAAAGTGATTAATTTAATATATTAAATTACGTATCACAATGAAAGAGTGAGATTAATTACATTCAAAAGACTGATTGAATAAAAGTAGATAGTAATAGTAAATGTAGGCGAAAAAGTAGTCTGGACTGGAACAGCCGTCAGTTACTGTGCAGGGGGCCGACTGAAGTGCCGCCTCGCCTCGCCGGCCGGGGCGTCGGCAATTTTTTAGTTAAATATAAAACGACAACGCCAACCCATTGTATCATCGAACATCCTTATTATGACCTCTGTCCCCACATTATCAACATACTGCACATATCAGTATTTTCACAGAAAACTACAAAACACTTGTTACAAAGTGTCAAAAACTACGAATGTTTTTTCAAATAGTTTACCTTTATTTATCTTCTAACAAAAGCTGCACGGCCCCTTGGAGACAAATATGGACTGCTGCGTAGACACAGTTTCCTCCGCTGCAATATTTACAGCAATTTATGCACCGAGCTTCAGTGAAAAAAAGTTCGATATTTAGGCTCAAAAATATTTGAAATTTACGCGAAAATGTTTATAAAATATGTCCGACTAAACATGGCGTCCAAAGATGTCCGACCAAATTCAATATGGCGAAGCAAAATGGACGCCCGTTCATGGGCTGATCTAGTGGAAAAGAACGTGAAAGGAGAAACGCACCATACACGATAGAAAAAAATTGACAGTTTCTTGGTGTTGCCATTAAAAGGCTGACATTTTGATGTCGAGTAGGCTTTCTAAAATATGAAAAACATATCGTGTTCCTCATGCTTTGTTAGAATTAAAAAAATAACAAAGTAATTTGTTCAATCTTAATGAAATATGATTTAAAACAAATTTTTTTAACTATTTCATTACAAATCTTGACAGTTACGTGTATGGCGGTTTATACAGTAGCGTCATCTATGAAATCTCGATACACAACAAGCGCCATCTATCAGCAGTCGAATTTTTGAAATGTCAAATTTCATCTTCCCCTTCCTGTGATTATCCAACATTGTCAGATAATTTTTCTCGAATTAAAAGGGGTTTTTAAAAGAAATTCATAATGGCTGTAAGGTTGTTAGGTAAATTGAAGGTGCTGCCTGATATGTGCGGCGTGACGTACGCCAGTTCGGCGGCAGCGACCGCTACTATATCAGATTTCGATATGCAGCATAAAACTCCAGTTATAAGGAAACAGAAATTGATTCCGATGGCCAAGTACGGTGGAAGACACGCAGTATCTATGCTCCCTGGTGGTGGTATCGGCCCAGAGTGCATGGGATACGTAAGACAAATTTTTAAGTAAGTTTTTCATACTCAACTTTTATTGTCACTTTAGGTTCTATTTTGGCAATTTCCTGCCTTTATATCTACGCTTTAATTAGCAGAGTGTTATTTTCGAGTTTCGAACATTGAATACTATATAGTCTAGGCTAAGGTGTGAGCAAAATGTTCATGAATTGGATTTCAAAAGCTCTGAAAATATATATTCACAACTTAACACCTACCCTGTGTCACTGGAAATCAGAAATTGAGCCTTATGTGCAGTTTTTGTTATTTTGCAAATACGTTGGAATTGGTATATATTAATACATTTATGAATGAAAAAATCATTTCTATAAACCCCATTCCATTTTCTCAATTTTCCCAAATGCACCACATGTTTTTTTTGAGTTATTTAGTTGGTGCCACACATATAATTATTTTAGTTGTGCTTACCCGGCTTTTTATTTTTTGATTGTTGGGTTTTGTGACATTGTTTAATTGTCCTTTTGATTTTATTATCACGTGCGATATTATATGGAAGTCAATAATAGACTTTTGTAACTTGTAGTAAAAATATAATAATTATTTTTTGTGTTGTTTTATTTTGACAGTAATAAACTGGCAACATTGGTTAAAAAGTCATCCAGAACCACATGCTAATTGTCACAATTTTTGTGGTCCATACATACAAGTAAATAAAGATGCTCTAGCTTACACGTTCAAATTTGGTTTTGTAATCACGCAACACATCTACTCATAGTCATCCAACTGATCGCATGATTAAACGATGAAGAAAAATAATTTGGTTTTACTCTTAAATTTATAAAGGGCCATGTCTCATGTGATGCACTCACATATTGTTTGGACATCGAAATGTACAGTCAAAAGCACGTCAAGCTTGCCTTTGTACTTTGGACCGTTCTTTTGTAAGCAGCATAGATTTGAATTTAAATCTTAAGTGTAAAGCTTGATTTGCTCTTGACCCTGTACCACATATGATGCATGCACAGGGTACATGTTAAATGACTTTTTTTATCAAGCAACACCTACCAATTTCCGATTAACTTTATATTAAAATGATGACAGTACTGCTTTTTATAGTTTTATTAGAGACTTTATGTAAATTTTATGTTTGCAAAACAAATACACAAAGCATAACTTGCTAAATCATGTAGGTATTTGACAGTTGAGAAATTCTGAACAAAAACCGATGAGTCCAATAATTTTCGATTCTAATTTCGTCTAATCTCATTCGACGGATTTGTCACATAATGAATTCTAGAATTGATTGTAGCACATTAATATTTTAGTAGAAGGTAATACAATTTTTTGTCCCTATTTAAGACCTAACAAGTAAATTAGGCACTACGATGTTGAGTTGCTTGCTAAAGACTGTGTTACACTGTATCATATCATCATCATCATATCATTTGGACAGATACATGCTATAGGCCTTTATTTATTTAGTGGTTAAATTAAGAATTACATTCATTTTATCTCTCCTCTGCACTTTGTCAGCCAGTTGTTGTACATCTTTATCTATTTTCAGATACATTGGTGCACCAGTGGACTTTGAGGTGGTGGACATTGACCCTACTGTAGACAATGACGATGATGTTCAATACGCAATCACTACCATTAAACGAAACGGTGTTGGCCTTAAGGTAACTTTGCATTAGGGTCATTCCAACGAAAATGACACTGTGGTTCAAAAAAATAAATTACATAATTTGGTTTTAATTGTATGACTAGAATACGCCCAATAAATCAAATCATTGGAAATAAATGAGATTTTTCGGATATTGTACAATTATTGTATTTTTTGTCTTCATTAACGCAGTCAAAGTCTGTAGTGAAGCATTTTTTTATAATGTTAGCAACAACTTTTGCAGTTATTGTGCGTCTTTCTAAAAAGTTATTACTGTCGAAGAAAATACAATTTACGAATTTTAAAACAGTGATAAGTGATTGCATGGAAATATATATGGTGAGGAATTATTAAAGTCTCAATAAGTAGATACTAATTTCAAGTCCCACCCGTCACAATAAAACATATATATTTTTATTTTAACCAACAAATATGCAATTTATTGGCATTTGCTTTTGTAAAAGTAACAATTATGCTAAGGGTCATTATTTTGGCTTTGTTGGGCATTGCGCACGTAAATGGGAATGTAAATATTAAGATTTGAAAGTATGTCCCACCCATCACAGCGATGGCTGGGACACATGTAAACGTTTTTAATTTGAATAAATGTTTGTATTTTCATGGACTCTAGTTTGTACGATGTTTACTAGGTATAACAGTTACTTTAATTTCCGAATTTAACATTTGATGTGTTAAATTGTGACGATTGGGACACCATTTAGTGACAGGTGGGACAAGTTACATTTGAATGCACAGAATTTTAAAAAATACACTGTTTATATGTAGATCCATCATTTGTAAGCAAACTTTTTATAATTGTTCTCATAATTACGACATTTTAAAACTATAGAGACTAATGATCTTTAACGGAGACCGGATCGAATAGGACCAGATCGGATGGCATAAAAAAAAGTTTTGTAAAAATTACATTTTATTTTGCTGACCGTACCATTTTTTCGAAATCTGTGAATGCCAGTCAAAATATCTTCAAAATTAATGCATAGTCTTCTAGAACCGGTTTCCTGTAACTACAACGATTAAGGTGGCTGACCTTGCTGCCCCGTCTCAAATTTACACCCTGTATATATAAAATAGAACTTTAACATTTAAGTTATCTCATATGAAAAACTTGGTGAACAAAATATTAATAGTTTGTCCTGATCTTGGCAATGAAGCCATCAACTCAAACAGGCAGGTGTAGTGAGTGTCCCACCCATCACACTTAGCAAATGAAAAGTTTTGAGTATAAATAACGTCGTAAATTTATGTAAATAAATAGTCGCAGTTGAATTGCACATCTGGCTTCATAATATTTTCATTTTAAGTCCAATTAACTTGAAATTACTCGAAGTTCAAGAAAAAAGGTGTCAATGTGCAGAATGTCACTTTGAATGAAACTGAAAATTTTAATGCTATGTTAAAGACCTAATATTATTCAATTACTAACTACCATATTTTTCAATTAAATTTGTTTTGAATTGATATTCAATTATTTTTTGTGGAATTACTCCACTAGCTTGTACAATCTTTGTATTAATAATTATTAAGAAAAAATTCCTTCGATCCGGCCGGAAAAACTTTTTGTGACATAGATATTATGTAACATGTTACAGGGTAACATTGAAACCAAATCAGAAGCATCCTATGTTACATCTCGAAATGTGGCTCTACGTAACGAATTGGATATGTACGCTTATGTCCTACACTGCAAATCCTACCCTGGTATTGTATCGAGGCATAAGGACATCGATATCGTTGTTATTAGGTAAGATTTAAAATGATTTGATAAAAATTAAGTACCTCAATTTGCTTCCACGCGGACCTCATCCGACGCTCTGTCTACAATGACCAATGGTCGGGATAGGGTATTCCAACATATAGATACCTGTAGCCGTAACATGGCTGAATATGTGTGATAAAGAGGTTTATCACATGACACTATACGTGACAATATTTAATTCAGTTGATAAATCTAAGTTTGCTCATTTTGTAATGCACTATTGTTATACACTTTGAAGAACAAGGACAACGATATAAAATTGCGTATATGCTATCTTTGTCGTTTAATCATCGCCTCCACGAAAACCATGAAACAAGAAATATCTATTGATTTCGTTTGTCGCGCTAAATTTTTGCGTTGATAAAATTACTGTGTAAATGTTTTACAATTAGCTGTCACCTTGCAGCCATGTTTGGCACTATGTTAATCTTTTGCAATCATTGGTCGCCGGCGCTCGCGATGACATAAAAATGTGACGTCACTGTACTCGCCACGTCCACTAGTGTGATAAAATTTATCACTCGAATTTAATAGCTAAATGTGGATATAATAGCTTTATGGAGGCGGCATACCAAGGGGGATGGAGTGGTTAAAATCACCAAATTTTTTAATCAATTATACAGTAAAAGTAGACAAACTGGTATGCTTAAAATTCTAAAGCAATCACTCGAACAGCGGTTTAACGACACGCCGCGCCATCCGCTACCCCGTCAGTCGTCATCGGCCGCTTGTCGACGTCGGATCTGTGTCAAATTTTCTCCGCATTTTCTTATTTTATTCATATTCATTTTAAGCGCGCAAATTGTGGCCCCCACACGTCTCTCGCGGTCAATTACCTCGCCTTAACAATAGTATATTAATTTTTATTTTTATCTTTCTTTAGACAAAACACAGAAGGTGAATATGCTATGTTGGAACACGAGTCCGTACACGGCGTCATCGAGAGCATGAAAGTAGTCACCGCGAGTAACTCCGAGCGAGTGGCCAGGTTCGCCTTTGAGTTTGCCAAAAGAAACGGCAGGAAGAAGGTACGATGACTAAAGTTCAAATCAAATAATTTTATTCGTCATCATGGGTGTACAATAAAGATGATAATATACATTATTTTATGATCGCCATGGCATACTATCAAGGCATACGAAATAGTACATTACTGCAGAGGCCAGGAAGCAAGGGATTGCTGGACGAGTGAGTTACAAGACTGAGCTCCAACGAGACCTTGTATTAATACGAGTCAAGCAATCCCCTTTCCGGCCAAGGCGTGTATAGTGCTTTTCTCAAACAATGCGACTAAATAATAAAAGACTAAATAGAAGAAGATGTATAATAAAAAAATTAATAATATTAATAGTAATAATAATAATAACGTACACACTCAACATAGCCCCGCACTAGGTAAACCCTGTCTCGCATGGACACACATAGACAACCACAAATTCTAAAAAAATCAAATCTAAAAATCACCCAAACGCATGAGAGAAATAAATGTAGGCCATACAAATATTTCTACCGGCCCACGAATCGAACCTGGAACCTCTGCGTGGAAGTCCGGCATGGTAACCGTTCGGCCACAGAGGCAGTTAAATATTATAATGTTAAGTATAATATTATATAAATATATTGTGATTTTCTTTGTTCTTTGTGGTGGTATTCGTGAGCTAATATATTCCTACATGCACCATTTATCCCTAAAATTAGACAAACCTGAAACAAACAAAGGTTGGTTTTGCTTATTTACTGTATCGAAAGCATTGACTTACAATTATATGGACGTCGGGTACAATTATATGTAAGTCAATGATCGACTTACAATTATA